GTTCGTCTATGTTACCCTTCTCTAAAGCCGTACACTGCTGACTGTTCATACTGACACCCCCGTCCCGTCCCCAGGTGTACCTGAGCCTGAGGGACGGTGCCTGGGTTCTCCCCCGCCTGGCTCAGGCCGGGATGCCGCGGGACATGATGCTGCGCCGGGTCCTGATGAACATGCCCGAGTTCATCTTCAACAAAATCATCAAGGGCGAGGCGAACGCCAGAGTGTGTCATGACAACTACGGGCTGACGTGTCCAGCTGAACCGCTCAAACATTCCGTCATGACCAATGACGAAATAGGTTTCAGACTGGCCACAGGACAGGTCAGTTTGCACAAAATAAGTTTATATAAATGTTCGAACAATAGATACATGGAACATTTTATGCAATCCATTTGATGTTGGTCCTTCTAATGACGTGTTGTCAAATAGTTTGTTCAATTATCTAGCTCGTGTGTGTTATACAATTAATGACGAATTTTCCACTTGTGTTTCATGTCTAACTTGATATGTAACATTGACTGTCACTGTCAGCCTTTAACAATTCCACACCTGTCCTTCCCAGGTCGTGACGAAGCCCCAGCTGTCCCGGTTCACCCAGCACGCTGCTCGGTTCGCGGACGGCAGTACAGTGGACGGACTGGATGCCGTGGTGTTCGCCACGGGCTTCCACCTGGCGTTTAAGTTCGGTGACAAGTCCATCCTTCCTAGTAAGTCTCATGCGTAAATTCCCTCACTGTTCACGTACAGCTCGCACAACACTGATATGATATGTGAATTGAAAAAAAAATCTTCAGGTGTATACCTGCATCGTCTCAAAACAGATCTCTCACTGCCAATATTAATATTGTTCTTTCTAAGATAATGCGGAGGACCTGAACTTGTACAAGTTGGTGTTCCCTGCGGAGATGACAAAGCCCACCCTGTCCGTGATCGGCTGCCTGACTACCGTCGGGGCAGTTCCTCCTATCTACGAACTGCAGGCTCGCTGGGCCGTCAGGGTGTTCTTGGTAAGTGGAACGTTTCAGTGATTCCGCCTTATGTCGTGATCACTCTTCTCCAGTTGTTTGAATAGCCACCGAATATCATCTCGACGTCTACGGAAGTATCTAAACCTAGGGCAGATTGTTTATTGCATAAACAAAGGTGTTGTTTTGCAAAAGTGGCACAAGGTGTGCCATGTTGCAGGTGGTCGTGTAGAGCTTTTCTACCTGCTAAACTAAAACTGGGAATGCCAAATGCACCACCATAACAATACACATGTAAAGTCGTGTTTCCTGCACAATTCTTGATAAGTTTCACAGGAAACAAACAAGTGTTTTTAAGTGACTGAACGTTTTCACTGGTAACTAACAAATGGTATCTTTCAACCAGGGACGAGAATTGTAGTTATCTGAGGGCATAGACAGCGGTCTTCACACAGTTGCCTTATTGTGTTGCAGGGTCTGAATAAACTTCCCGATAAGGAGACCATGCTGAAGCGGATCCGCTCCGACAAACTGGAACAGAAGCAGCGGTTCGGCCACGTCAAGCCTCACGTACAGTAACACGATTTTCTCAGACTATGTTGTAACACTGGGTAATACAAAACACAAGGGGTGAAGAACAAAGGATGTAATTTGTGGTGGTGGTGTTAAGAAGAATATTGGGCGAGACATTTCAGATCTAGGACGTTATGAATACTGATAGTCAATGCTCAAGTTTCATGAAATAATGGATATGTAGAAGAACACTGGGCTAAAGCCAACTTCCCCAGCAGGATTGCAGGTTTACAGGGTCAAACTTTATCTTGAGAAATAAACTATATGGCCAACCATAGTGATGCAGAGCGCACTTCATATTTCCACATCCTGTCTATATTACAGATGCTGAACGTGCCGTACCGGGATGATATTGCCGAAGAGATCGGAGTGAAACCATCGTTTTGGCGGATCCTTCCTCGGGACCCAAAACTAGCTTTCCTCTGCTACTTCGGCCCCGCTTTCTCTGTCCAGTACCGCCTGCTGGGGCCACATCCCTGGTCAGGTGCAGCTGACCACGCCAAGTCAGCCTTGGCTAACACCCTGTACCCCTTCAGGTCACCTGCACTGGTCAAGGAACAGCCGTTCTTCTCATTGGCCAAGATTATGAAGTTTGTCTTGTTGTTGGGGGTGCTGGTGGTGGTGTTCAATCGTTTTATGTAATCTCAATCCAATGATCAAAATTCCTTACTTAAATCCCTAACTTAATTGTATTAACTGGTGCACCGGTGGCAGAAATCAAGAACTGGTTTGCAAATATGATGTTCCCTAATACTAGAACAGTGTATGTTTTATTCAAACGTTTTTGTTCATTAAATAATACCTATCATGTTTGATAATTGTGTTTCAATGTTATTGGTGTCATGTGATCTTCATTTAACATTAATAAACACAATGCAGACTGAGAGTTCTTCATCTTCTTTTATTCAACAGTTCACGCAAAACTATATATACCATGGATTATTACAGGAGTAATCCAGCTCTCTACTGTAATAAAGTGCAGTTGCAAGTGCAGTTGTGGGCGGGTTACTAAAAATCTTACGTGAGGTCCTTTATATTACTATGACACGATGGTAATGGAACTTAGATAACTAAGACTAATTGAAGCGACCTGTACCCAATAACAAATTTGTATCACCAGAGGTTATGAGTATATAAAAAGGTATTTTGATACAAAATACACTAAAGGACCCTTGTACTGGCCAGGAAGATATACCTTTTAGATATTACATAATATCAACCAACTAGGAGTCTGAATAATATTGTTAAAAGGTCATTATTAAAGTCACAATCATAATATTGATCAATTACAAAGAGTTTTGTAACATAGCCAGACAAGACAGACTCTATACATCAACCGTTATCTCAACCTAACAGAAGCACTACATTACTACTTAAAATACATCTTAAATCACCACAAATCTTTACTTATCACAACTCTATTAAAACAGAATCAAGGCACAAAAACATCAGTCTCCTTCAAATGAAGAATTATAGTCAAGAAAATAAATACAAGCGTAATAGTCAAACATTAAAAAGGTCAAATATGCCACATATTTGTATCCAACACTACATATAGATTGTTAGATTATGATCTTAAGAGAATAAGCCCTAGATCAACGATACTATTGTATATCATCTTTACCAGTTTACGTGCGCAAGGGAAGCGCTACCTCCCCAACTACAGCTTTCCCCACTAACGTGGTCGTGGTCATCCCGCCCAAGATGTCCAGCTGGGACACGCTGAGGTCGAAGTTCTTGTTCATCCAGTTGACGATGTCCACCGCCATCAGGGAGTCCACGCCGTAGTTGATCATGGGCTGGTCGGGGTCGATCTGGCTGGAAGGCATGCAGAGGATCTGGCCGAGCTGCTCCAGAACCTGCTCACGGAGGTCGTCTTCATTCAAGTCAGCGTCAACTATTTTGTCAACAAGAAGATGTAATCAGTACATGAATACACACAACTGGGAGACAAACATGTCAATCAATATATTGAACCATACTGATGAAAGGTACATGAGCATATAAAGAAACTACACAATCAACTTAAAACACATGACCTTAAAGAAACGTACCGCTTTTTTCCTTGTTCTTTACAACTGCAAGATGACGGAACTTCATGCTTGTCGGGTAGGAGAACTGTATACACTTGGACCAATCCTGTGTTGGATGAAAGGGACGAAAGGGATAGAAAAGTCAGAAAGTAAACTAGTATCATAAACAAACTTCAATGACAATCATATATGTGCCTAGCAGATAGAAAATGAAAAGTAGACGGATAGATACTGACGCAGTAATTACAATAAAGGATGTTAGTCAGACTTACCATGTTGGCCAATGTGACAACAGGGGTGTCTCTGGCCTTCAGTAGACGTGGCAGCATCTGTAGGTACTCGTCAATGTGGAGAGTCAGCATGCCCTTCCCCGTGACGATTTTGGCTGCTTTAGTGTTCCCTTCCAGTATGCCCACACCTCTGACGGCTCCGAGCTGTAGAGACAGGGCCGGAAGTCCTCGCCAGTGTCGGTGTTCAGCGAGGGCGTCCAGGATGCTGTTGGCGGCCACGTACCCACATTGTTCTGGGTTTCCCCAGGCGGCGGTGACAGATGACAGCAAGAAGAAGATGTCCAGGTCATCGTCCTGTGTCAGCTCGTGCAGGTGGAGGGCTCCCCACGCCTTTGCTGCAAGGGACTTTTCCAGTTGACTGTCCTTCACGTCTAAGACATTGGCATCATCGATGACAGCAGCGAGATGGAAGATGCCTTTCAGCGCAGGAACTGAGGTGTCGGCTCTAAGATGGTTCAACACGTTTGTCAGCGACGTCTTGTTTGACACGTCCACCTCGTACGTGTACACCTTTCCGCCTTTGGACTCCATGTACTCTACAGTGTGGATATTTTCAGCTGTTTTGCACCCACTTCTGGACAGGAGGGCAATGTGCTTGGCTCCATGGTCTACCAGCCAACGGGCCAGGGCTTGTCCAACTCCACCGAACCCGCCAGTAATGAGGTACGTACCGTCAGCCTCCAGTATTTCCGAAGATGGCACCAAGCTCTCCGGTTCAAACTTGGCAGGCGTCTCAAACACAACCTTGCCGACGTGTTGGCCCTTTGACATC